TCTTCTGTCGTTAATCTCAACAAACATTATAACTCCAGAAGATATTAATTCAATTCATTATTTCATTTCAATTTAATTATTCCTTTAATTATTCTCCAATTTATGTAACATTTGTTAACCAATTATTGTTACATTTTTTGAAAATTTTCATTTATTGTTAATCAATTCACTTTTGGATTATTTAATTTTTTCATTCAATTTGTATTCAATTTCGTAATTAATATGTATTAAAAATTTTTCATTATTAAAATTAAAGTAATAGCAAACTGTTTTGTATAATTAAAAATGTTTTTATTAACTTTAATTAATAAGTCAACATTAATAACATTAAAAACAGAAGCATTTCATTTAATTAAAACATTAAAACTAATATTTGTAGTTTTGTTTATTACTCAAATCATTTGTACATTGGTGTAAAAGGAATTTATATTTTTGATACCTATATTAACTTTTATAGTCGATAGCACTAGTGCTAGGACCAGATAATAAAATTGACATGGGTCAATTATGAGCGCTTATACACTCGGCTTTTCTGTATTTAAAGTACAATTTTGTTCTATTTTTTAAACTGCAATTAAGTGTAAAGCAATTTAACTGATGTATAAATCTTAACAATCAATTAAGATTATAATAGGATTTTCAAAATCAATATTACTATCAGATTAGGTAATAATAGATGAGATAAATGTCGGTATTTTAGCTAAAATTAGTGAAAAAAGTGCAAAAATAATTCAAAAATAACTGTTTTATCTAATGATTAGTGCATTTCGCGCATAAAGAAGTGCATCAAACACTTGAAGCATAGGACGAGCTATAGTTTGCGGATCACATCCATATCACATGTTCAGTACTGTAAAGTACTTTATATTGTATTTTAAAGTATAATTTACTTACTTTAGTTCAATTTAACTCAGTTTTAGTGCACATTTAGTGCCTGTTATCTGTAGGCCTTAAGAGAGGCTCGTCAACCAATACTATATAAGAACATAGAGGGTGTGTATGTATTGTATGTGTTTCATAAATCTCAATTACAGACAACATTTTTGTCAATATGATAATGAGATTATCCGTTAACGTTGTTTACGCATTCATAGTATGCGTTACTATTTGCGACGCGTCTAACCAGTGGCCAAACCACGACATATCGACACTAAAACTGTTGCAAATAGTGCACCGACACGGAGACCGTACGGCCAAAGACTTTGCGCCTAACGATCCGTTTGATTCCGAAGTGTTTTGGCCCGAAGGCGACGGAAAGCTAACCACTGCTGGAAAATATCGTATGTATAAAATGGGAGAATTCTTGCGACAAGAATACGGCCCCTATTTTGGCGATCAATACTCGCCCCGAGAGGTGTACGCCCGGAGCGCAGCCGCTGATCGGTGTCTGGAAAGTGTGGCCAATCTGTTGGCCGGCGCTTACCCTCCAAAACAGACTCAATGGCAGTGGAATAAGGGATCGGACGCCTCGTTGGGCCGACTCTGGCAACCGATTCCTATCAATACTGTTTTAGATAAGAAAGAGGATCGTCTTCTCGATGATGTAAATTATATTTTATTTTCATAATTAAAAAATATTTTAACATTTTAATTGAATAATTTTTAAAAAATGAATATGATTAATAATACTATTGGCTTTTATAATTGATTGTGTATTCATTTGAACAGAAATACGATTGTCCGGCAGTGGATAAGGAATTGGAAAAGATATACAACACGAATGTTATTAGAAAGTTTTTGGAGGAAAATAAACAATTGTATAAAAAATTAAGTGAAATTGTCGGCCAAGAGATAAAAGACATATCGACCGCAACTCAATTGTATGAGATATTGAAGATAGAGTTGGAGCACAACTACTACTGGAATACCAGTGAGTGGTCGGTAGAGGAGGAAAAACAAATGGTCGACCAGTTATCACATTCACAACTCATGCAAATGCGTTACGAATGGGACAGTCCTATCATTAGGCGTCTTAAATCCGGAGCATTAATACAAGAATTGAATACAAATTTTAACAAAGTATTGAAAAATAAGAAAAAGAATCTTAAACTCTATGTCTATTCCACACACCATTCAGAAGTGGGAGGACTAATGCATGCCTACAATGTATACAACAATCTCGATCTACCCTATGGTACGGCTGTACTCTTAGAGTTACATCAAAATCCGAGTAAAGACTATTTTGTTAGACTTTTCTTATATAACGAGACACTCACTGGATATCCATATTCTCTACCATTTACTGATTGCAACAATCAATTTGATTGTCCTTTCGATGATTACATCAAATCAACTGAATATTTAAATTATGATGATTTTGAC